AGTGTTTCTGAACGTGTTTCGCAGTTGGGTGTGGTGAAATTCATGATTTCGCGGTTTATGTTCAGTGAAAATTCCGTATCACAAAATTGCTCACCAAGTTCCCTTTTTTGCCGTTCGACGACGACGGGTTTGCGAGATAAAAATGAGCATGTGCTCCTGGATGTATTGATTTGGTGAGTACGTTCCAGTTGAAGATTGTTCTTATATATTTCTCGATTGCATTTTCGAGGGGACGTCCGGAGAGCTTTGAGATTTGGGCGTTGTTGCTTTTGCGGGCAGACGCGTTGGTCGCCGGTAAGGGCCAGTAAGGGCTGCCAGCCGTTGGATTTGATAAAGAGTCACAAATTGTTGAGATATTGTTTAAAATCTAATACTGCTTCTTAATTCTATATTTTTTCTACGAGTTTCAATTCCGTGCTAACGCATTGAAACGCTATTAGATTTTCTTTGTCCTACGGATAAACGTAGAAAAAGGGGATTCGCTAGGAGCGCTTCTTTTGTTTTGAGAACAATGAACGTAAATATTCATACAATGCACTCTAATAGGATTAATGTTGTAGCTATTGAGCTAACGCATCATAACAAACCTATTATTGATTTGTGTATGGTGAAATCATTAATATTATTGATTTTTTCAGATCGATAGAACGGAAAGGGTCGATTACGACGAAGTAGTGCTCTACCCTATTGGTGTTTAAAAAAAAATCATCCTTGACCCTATGCAGAATTTATTATGATTTTTTCATGAATTTCATCTGGAGACTATCTCTCGCTATATTCTTCACATCACTCTAAGAATTCTCTACATGTAACTCTTGAAATTCTCGCTAAAATTATTTCCAAATTTCTAACCTATATTGTAATTAACTCTGGAACTCTCGCCAAAATTTTCATAAGAAATTAAAAAAAATATTAAAAAATTTCTGAGAAAAAATCACGTCCGTTCACGAGCACAGCACACTTCCATTCTATTACATTTCCTACTTGACCTTAAATTGTACAGTTCGATTTATCATGTAAAATTCGTTTGAAATAATATGCCGCATCGCATCTAGTTTCCATCTACTGGACTTGAACCAGAAACAATTCTGAAGGAGTTTATCAGGGAGATAAATTAAAAGTCCATACGTACTCCCAACGGATCTGGGATGGACATCGTTTGCTTTTCAATCAAAATTGCATTTGAATGGATGAGTCGCATCACATAAATCGTCTATTCCAGTGGTCAGTACGAACACAGCAAGCGACTATTATTTGATGTTGATTGCTACTCAAGAATTTCAAGAGTATCAAATTCATTATTTGGCTGTTTTCAGCAAACATGTTTGCCAAACATAAAATGACCATCACACTATTTGACGGATTGCCAAACAAATGGAACAACAAATACAAACCAAATATTTGCCATAGCAATATTTGGTTAAACATCTTTGTCGAAATTTACCAAATATTTATTTGACGTTTTGTCAAACAGTGTGATGTCAGCATTATATGCGAATAGTAATATTTGAATCGTACTGTTTGATAAATTAAATCGGATTACATCGTAAGACTTTTAAAATTGAAATCAACTCGTTTAAACATAAATTAATATTTGACACATATGGTCTCCACTTTTGTACGTATAAGCCATTCTTTGCTTTCGATAGGATTTGCTTTTTTGTATATCCCAGAAGCAACTTTGAATATACGTGCATTCTGGATGTCTAATACGCCTTTTTTATGTTTTGCCAAAAATGTTTGCTGATAACAGCCAACTAATTTATTTGACACTCTTGAAATTCTTGAGTAATCAACAACATCAAATAATCGTCGCTTGCTGTGTTCGTACTGACCACTGGAATAGACGTGACAATCATTTCCTTCATTTACATTGATTTGCCTTTAACTTTTTGCATCAACCGAATTCTGTTAAATTATTGTAGGTTTTGATATTGATATTAGTTTTGATAATCCTGCGATGCGTAATGCCAATGAACCAACTGCACTTACATTAAAGGGTGAAAATTTGGGCAGAAGTAGTTTAGAGTGTATTGTTTACACTGTATTTTTTATCGCTGTCAGTTTTCCGAAAGTTGACAAAAAATGGCGTGACCCGAAAAGCAACGTCGCGAATTAATTTTGCGCAAGCACCTGGAAAATCCTCAACTCTCTCATCGGGACATCGGAAAACAACTCGGAATCTTGCAGTCAACGGCGAGTCGTGTGATTAAACGTTACTACGAAACTCTGAGCATCGAACGGAAGGAGAAATGCGGTCAGCATGGATTTTCTATTAGTGATCAGGATCACAAGCGTGTCGTGAACAGAGGTTGAAACTGTTGACGTTTTTTACGACACTCGCTTCGTTGTCATGCGCGACAGTCTGTTTTTATTCGTACTCTCATGCTCTACCGTCGTCTCTCTCACACAACACAACCGGTAGAATAACATTCGAGCAAAAAGAAAATGATCAAATAACTATCATATGATATGAGTGATTTTGTTCTAATTCCTCAGTTTGGTGTAAATTAAACCATTTCTGATCAGAAATGTTATTCCTAGGACATCATTGCTTGATTTTTTCAGAATTCACACAAGCACAACATCAGCAGCTCTTATAATGAGAGAAACTAAAATACATACATTCGTGACGGTCTTCGGCGACAGTGTCGTATGACAGAGCCTGTCAAATGACATTTGAGTTTGGTACTGTACTATGATAGCTTGTTTTGCAAGTATCGGAGGCAAAGGCAGTCGATTATCACAGAAAATGTGTCGACTACCGTGACCGCTTACAAGACTGGTCGTGAAACGTTTAAGCGGAATTCCAATGCTTTGGTCAGGGATGTGGCCAAAACGTTGAATATGTACAAGCCTTTCGTTCAGAGAGCTAAGGACCGGGAGGGACTGCATACGTACAAAGTGCAGAAGGCTCCAAATCGTGACGAACGGCAAAATACGGTGAGAAAGTCACGGACCCGGAAACTGTACACCCAGATGCTGACGAAGCCTCATTGTCTCATCATGGATGATGAGACTTACGTCAAGGCAGACTTCCGGCAGCTTCTGGATCTAGCTTCGTTCCACAACTCAAATGTTGTCCAGCCAACGGGATAACTTTCGTACCCAAGAACATGAACCCCCGCCCCCCGTGCCCTGGAACTGCTAAGAGGAAGAGGAGTTGAAAAAAATCAAGAACGACAAGGACGACAACAAGGAGGAAGGATGGCGTACAGTCGAGAAGCCGAAGGAGAAGTGAAAAAAACGGAAAGAAAAAGAAGTGAAGAAGAAAGCAGAACAGAAGAAGCAGATACCCAGGACTCGTCGGGAGCGAAGTCTGCAGACATGCAAAGAGTATGTAAATCGTATCATTTGAATCAACACCAATGAATTTTTACACTTAAAGTCCGAGATGTGCAGTGAGCATATCTCACTTCATTTTTGCCACGCAAAATCAAATACAGTTTGTTACTAAAATTAAAATACTCTATTCTATCGACTGCTTTAAACAGAACTATGTTTTGTCAACTCTGTGCAAAGTTATTAGCAAATGAGTAGTTCGTGAGCAAAACTGTGTATGCCAAGCATGCTGATCGTCGAAGCAAAAGACAAAACGACGTATGCAGCAGTCCTGTTCGAGAGGATCCAGAGTTGAATGAAACTAGGAACCAGACGCACCCAGAAAGGCGAGATGCTCTTTAAGCTGAAGAAGGATCCTTCGATCAAGAGCTCAGCCTTCAAGGTGTTGCGATATAGGTTTGTATTGAATGTACGCGCGCGTTTCACGAATAAATTAAAACATAACTTTATTGTAATAAAAGAACAATTACAAAACGTGTGAATCACTTTGCTATCGCAATTATATAATGATCATGATGACGCAGTCTCTCGGTCCGGTCCCCAACGTTCGTGCTGGCAGCTGTCAGGCTGACACCTGTCAGCTGATGAGCCCTGGTGGTGAAATCGGTGGGGGGCCTCTCAACACCTCCCCCCTTTTAGAAGAGTTGGTAAGGTTCATACGTCACGGGCGGCCTACGAAGCCTCGTAGACTGGCGTGTAGGAATCGGTTGTTGCTGTTGATTGCTTACGGGACGGCGTTGGTTGCTACGTTGAGTTGGCCGCTGAGGTTGTTCTGGCGAATCCGGAAGGTTTTCTGCTTCCGGAGACGATGTCGTAGATAGACCGCAACAGTCCAACAGGACGCTCAGAGGAAGTTGGGATTCTGCTGGTGTTTGTGTTTTTACTTGTTGCTCATCGGATTGATAGCGAGTTCTCATCTGGTTGCAATGCGATCTTTCCCTAGGCGTTCCATTACTGTTCCTGCATCCCAGCTCCACTTGTTATTCCGGAACACCTTGGTCCAGACGAGATCCTGAGGAATGTAGATTCTCGCTTTCGTGCCATGCTTTTGGTTGAATTGTTCTTCTTGCTTCGAATTCTTGATCTTGTGTAACTGTGTTGGTGGACGTAGCAGGTCCGAACTGGTCTACCAACCAAGAGTTCAGCAGGAGATTTTCCATCAGGTGCGGTGCGACATGGTGTAGATCGATAGCATTGGAGAAAAGTGTCGATGGCTTCGTCCAACGTTTCCCCCCTGCGGTGATTTTCTTGAGCGACCTTTTAAACGTGTCTACAAACCTTTCCGCGAGGCCGTTTGACTGCGGGTGGAAAGGTGCAGTTTTCAGGTGGAGAATAGCATTTTTGTCGCAATATGATTCAAAAGCGTCACTGGTAAATTGTGGCCCATTGTCAGTTACCAGCGTTTCTGGAGCTCCAAACCTAGCGAAGATTCCACGAAGGATTCGCACGGTTGCTGAGGTGGTGATCTCCTTGGTTCGCACTACTTCTGGCCATTTGCTGAAGGAATCCACCAAAATGAAGTAGTACCATCCATTCATAGGACCGGCATAGTCCAGATGTATACGCTGCCACGGTTTTTCTGGGGCTGGCCATGATTCGAGATTTGTCTTCCGGTCAGTTTTTGTTACACTGGAACATTCATTGCAAGTTTGGACGAGCTAGGCGATGTCTTCGTCGACATGAGGCCAATATACGTACTTTCGGGCGATCGATCGCATTCGTTCCACACCTGGGTGACCTTTATGTAACTGTTGGAGCACCCGTTTCCGAAACTTTGGTGGAATAACCAAACGTTCTCCATACATCACGAAATCGGCTACGACGTTGAGCGAGTCGCGTCGTAAATAGAACTGTTCGACTTGAGGGTCGGAGAGATCTTCCTTTTTAGGCGGCCACTTACTATTGACGAACCGAATAACTTGCTGTAGTGTGTCATCGGATCTGGTTCCCGCTTGAATCATCTTGAACGATAGCGGAAATACCTCTAGGGACTCGTTGATAATGCTTCTGATCGAGTTCTCCATTTCGAAATTGGCGATAACGATCTCTTCGTCCGGGCGAATGTGTTGGTTGATCAAACGGGACAAAACATCCGCATGCCCGAAGCTTTCCGTTGAAATGTAGCGAATGTCGAAATCGTAGAGGAGCAACGTCAATGCCCATCTTTGTAGTCGATTGGCCGTATACGTAGCAATCCCCTTTTTCGACCCAAAAATAGCGAGTAGCGGTTTGTGGTCTGTCTCGAGGATGAATTTTCGACCGAATAACATTCGATGAAAACGGGTTACAGCGAATACGATAGCCAATCCTTCCTTCTCGATCTGACTGTAGTTGGTTTCGGCTGTCGTTAAACTACGGGACACGTGACAAATGGCTTTAATAGTCCCGTCCGGAAGCTGGTGAGCGATTCGTGCTCCCAGTCCAAATGCAGATGCGTCCGCCGAAACAATGATGCCCAACATGGGATTGTAATGGGTCAGCAGTAACGGTGACTGAAGAATCTCTCGAAAACGATCGAACGATGCTTGACATGCCGGTGACCATTCGAATTTTACTCCAGCTTTCAGCAGCTGATCCATTGGATGTCGTAGAGTGCGCATCTCTTTGACGTATTTGCCGTAATAGTTTACGGCACCCAAGTAGGAGCGAAGCGTCGAAACATCGTGTGGTGGAGGCATGCTGACGATCGAAGCAATTTTCTCGGGATCCGGCCTGATTCCGTTGCCATCCAGGATTTGTCCCAGATACTTGACCTGCTGCATGCCGAAGCTACACTTTTCGATGCGTACGGTGAACCCATACTCCTTGGTCCGCGCGAGTGTTAGCTGCAGATTGTGCTGATGCTCTTCTTCATTACGGCCCCCGACCAATATGTCATCGAGGTAACCAACAGTACAGTTGAGACCAGCTAGCATTGTGTCCATCAGCTATTGAAAAGCAACCCGGAGCTGACTTGATACCGGATGACAAGCACGTAAATTGAAAGAGGCCTTTGTGGGTGTTTATGGTTAGTAGCGGTTGGCTGGCTTGATCCACCTCTACCTGCAGGTACGCGTCGGACAAGTCAATGTGACTGAAAATCCGACAGTTTGCCATCTTCGCAAAAATATCCTCGGGCAAAGGCAATGGATACTGGTTTGGTTCCAGAACGCTATTTAGACCAGTCGAAAAGTCGGCGCAGATACGGACGGTTCCATTTGGCTTCCGAACCGCGACAATCGGTGCCGCCCAGTCGCTGAAATCCACTTTCATCAGGATGCCAAGGTTTTGCAGGCGAAAAATCTCCTCCTCCACAACATGCTCCATGGAGTTAGCCCTATCCCAGGAGACAGTGGCCCTATCCCAGGAGACAGTGGTCGAGTGTAGGGATCTGGACGAGATCACTACAGAAGAGGAGCTGAGAAGTGCGTTGAGAGTGCACTGCAATCTGGGAGATGTCCGGATGTCAACCCGGATGAGGAAGGCGTACGGCGGCATACAAACGGCGGTGATATGGCTTTCGACAGTTGCAGCGAACAAGCTGTTGGAGACGGGCAAGGTCAAGGTTGGGTGGTCAGTGTGCTCGCTAAAAGCCACTCCTGGGTATCGGTCACCAGGCGAGAAACTGCAATGCCCTGACAAATCTGATCTGTGCAGGAAATGTGGGGAGAAAGGTCACATTGCAAGAGGCTGCACGAAGCAAGCGAGGTGCATGCTCTGCAAAAAAGAGGACGGAACGAACGGCTTCAAATGCCTAGTATAGAAAAAGGCGATGGCAAGCCAACAGTAATGGAGGTAACCCAAATAAACCTCAATCATTGCGACACTGCACAGCAACTGTTGTGGCAGTTGACAACAGAAACAAAGTGCGACGTTGCAGTTATTGCGGAACCGTATCGAGTCCCTCCCGGTACCGGTAACTGGGTGGCGGATAGAGCTGGGATGGCGGCTATATAAGTTATGGGCAGATACCCTATTCAAGAAGTGGTTGCGAACTCATACAAAGGTTTTGTGATCGCCAAAATTAACGGAATCTTCATATGTAGTTGTTACGCACTCCCAGATGGACGATGGAGCAGTTCAATGAGATGATGCAAGGGCTAACCGAAGAGCTGATCGGATGACGACCGGTAGTCATCGAAGGAGACTTCAATGCTTGGGCAGTAGAGTGGAGAAACAGGTGTTCCAATGCAAGAAGGCACATTCTGCTGGAAGCTCTGGCAAAACTGGAAGTTATGCTCGCGAACGAAGGCACCAGCAGCACTTTTCGCAGAGATGGCCGGGAATCCATTATCGACGTTACTTTCTGCAGTCCGTTGCTGGTATTCTTCTTCTTCTTCTTATTCTTCTTATTCTTCTTCGAATTTCAAGTTTAATGCTTATCGCATTTTAGCTTATTGCGTGCTCTCAACTTAGTGTTCTAGATGCACTTCCACAGTTAATTGAGACCTTTCGATGCTTGTAACATTTTTGCATTAGTATATTTGTGTAGCAAGTACAATCATACTCTATGCCCAGGGAAGTCGAGAAATTTTCCAACCCGAAAAATTCCGGTCTAGGAATCGGGAATCGAACCCAGCCACTTCTAGCATGGTCTTGCTTTGTAGCTGCGCCTTTACCTACTGAGCTAAGAGAGGTCTGTTGCTGGTGGCAAACATGGATTGGAGAGTGTGCGAAGGATATACCCATAGCGACAATCAGGCGATCCGATATGGCATCGGCCAACGGAATTCTGTGACCGGAAGTGGAAGTGTTGTTAGTGAGAGCACACACACGAGCCAAATAACAACTGGTGGAACGAGGCACTTAGCACCGTCCGTGCGAGTTGTCTCAGAGCCAGAAGACGTGTTCAGAGAGCAAGAACATAAGTAGACAGAGAGGAACGAAGAGGAGTGTTTCGAGTGGCCAGGGCCGCACTTAAGAGGTTACGCCTACCTGCAAACTTTCAAAAAATCGGTTTTTTTTTGTTGTCCTAATCGAAAGTATATAAAGTCAAGAATATTTCCTCAAAAGATCAAGTTGATCCGATGAAAATTGTGAAAGTTATGCGACGTACAAAAATATTCACTTATAGTGGACTAAACCCAACTTGAAACTTTAAACGCGATTATCTCGGAATCATATTTTCAAAACCAGTGCCAAAAATTTCTCGAAATGTATACATTCGATTCGTCCGATTCGTTTTGATTTCTGTTCAGTACTATTTTGTGCAGTCCACGATCGTTCGGATTTCGTCTATCATTTAATTTCGATTTTTTACAGCCGATCAAAGACAAATTTTAAGGATCAAAAATCGGCACTTCAACTTTGCAAGGCCACCATTTTGTCAAAAAAAAAAAAAAACCGAACGATCAAGGACTAGTTTAACACATGCTTAACGATTTGGCATGGTTTTTTTTATTTCAGATGATTACATCACAAAGCGTTTTTTAGAACATCGTCCACGGGGAGCAGCCGTGCGGGGCACCATGACCTCGTTTTTACAGCATCGACTGATAAATGTACCATTTAATGTGTGTTCAATAAACGGCAGAAAACCGATTTTCAATATGTTGCGTCGTTTTCGAGAAAAAATCCAAACTTTCGCTTTTTTTCGGTCTTGCAGGTAGGCGTAACCCCTTAAACGAGAGATAAAGCAGAGCAAGTCAAACTGTCTTAAGGAGCTGTGTCGAGACGCTGATTCCAACCATACAAAGTCTTGATGGCGAAGATCAGAGGTCCAACGATGCCTGCTGAAAAGCTGAAAGTCATCGTGGAAGGACTTTTCCCGAAGCACGACCCAATTACCTGGCCACCTACACCGTACGGAGAAGGAGAGGGATATAACATCGAAGTCACCAACGAGGAACTCGTAGCAGTTGCGAAAGGATTGAAGGTGAAAATAGCTCCCGCTCTGGATGGAATCCCCAACGTAGCGTTGAAAGTGGCGTTCCTGGCGTCCCCGGACATGTTCAGGATGGTGCTGCAGAAATGCCTGGACGAGGGTAACTTCTTTGACTAGTGGAAGATACAGAAGCTAGTGTTGCTGCCGAAACCAGGAAAACCACCGGGGGATCCAGCATCGTATAGGCCTATATGCCTGCTGCTGGATACACTCGGAAAACTCTTGGAGATGATCATCCTAAACAGGCTGACGAAATACACGGAGAGTGAGCACGGATTGTCGGAGAAGTAGTTCGGATTCCGGAAGGGGAGATCGACGGTGGATGCAATTCGGACAGGGGTCGAGAGAGCCGAGAAGGCGTCCAAACAGAAGCGGAGAGGAGATCGATATTGTGCCGTGATAACTATCGACGTCAAGAATGCGTTCAACAGCGCCAGCTGGGAGGCCATCGCCGAAGCGCTGCATGAAATGAGAGTCCTTGATTACCTGTGCAGGATCCTGAGGAGTTATTTCCAGAACCGGGTTCTGGTCTACGAGGCAGACATGGGACTGAGATTAGGATCACAGCGGGAGTTCCACAAGGCGCCATCCTTGGTCCAACGCCCTGGAACGGGATGTACAACGGCGTGCTAACGCTGAAACTGCCCAAAGGAGTTGAGATCGTTGGCTTTGTGGATGACGTCGTCTTGACGGTAACAGGCGAGACGCTGGAAGAGGTGGAAATGTTGTCAACCGAAGCGATCGACATGATTGGTAACTGGATGCAAGGAGCGAAGCTGCAGATAGCCCACCACAATAACCATCTCGTGGGAAGCAGTATGCGTTATCGCCGGTATACTTCCTATCGGCATCACCCTGGCGGAGAACAGCGAGTGCTACAGGCGGAGAGAACGCGGAAGAGTATGGAAAGTTGTGAGAGTGGAATCATTGGCTAAGTGGGAACAGGAGTGGAACACGACGGAGAACGGTAGATCGACACATAGACTAATACCGATTCTTTCGATCTGGGTGTAAAAAAAACACGGAGAAGTCAACTTCGACCTTACGCAGTTCCTGTCTGGCCACGGCTGCTTCAGGAAATACCTGCATCGGTTCGGACACGCAGCGTCACCCCTCTGTCCACAGTGTGGCAACGTCGATGAAACGCCGGAGCATGTGGTCTTCGATTGTCCAAGGTTCGAGGTAGTGCGAAGGGAGATGCCCGTCGTGGAGAATGCCGTCGTTGAAATGTGTCTAGAGGAGGGCACTTGGTTTGCCGTCAGCAGGGGAGTCACGTAGATTATGTCGGAGCTGCAGCGTAAATGGAGAGAAGACCAGTGATCTAGCTAGCTAGCGCTGAGAGTATCACAGGTGCATGACCACAGCCACCCCCCGGAGTAGTCGCTTCACAGTGGTCCTGGCGGATCCAGGCAGAGGAGAGAGTAAGGAATGGGTTTTAATGGAGCTGCACTAGGCAACTAGTGGATACCACACCGTGCCAACTTCACTGCAGGGCAGACTTCTTGACGCTTTCCTAAACCATACGAAAAAAACACACTCGCAAAATAGTAACTAAATACAAGGTTGATCAAACTAACAATCTAAGGTTCAATATTCTTCAGGAAAACATATATGAGTTTCATAAGCTCCAGATCGCGTCTAGCCAAAATATCCCGAACTGGAACGTTAGGTTGTCTACGTCGAGCCCGAAAGAAATCGTACAGCTCAGATCTGACTCCTAGATGTTCAGCACAAGACCAAATAATGTGATCTGCGTCCTGGTAACCTTGTCCACATTCACAGATATTACTGTCCCCCAGCCTAACACGGAACCAGTGAGCGTTTAACGAACAGTGATTGGACATTAGGCGAGACACGAATGAAGTCTCGACCCACCTCCAACCCTTTGAACCAAGAAATCTTCGACACCTTAGGGATGTTCGAATATAGCCATCGTTCCAAACACCCTTCACTCCTTTTATTTTGCCAGCTGGCGAGCGACTGTTGAAGATAAATGAAGAAAAATTCATCGTAGGGGATATGTCGATCGTAAAAATCACCTTCCATAGCGCC